GGATTGTACTTAGTTTTGGGTCAGTTCAATGTCCTCCAAAAACCAAATTTTAATAAAAAAAATTAAGAATTACAGGTTTTATACCATTTTAAATTTTTATTATTTCTTTTACTAAATTAAAAAAAAATAGAAATGGCATAAAATCTGTAATACTTTGAAATTTGTCGATAAACTTCAATGAATTAAATATTGTATTATCTTAATTTGGGGGGGCAGGAGGCTGGGGGGCACACTTAAAAACTAACTTTTTTTCACAAACTTTAATTTAAATTCTGCTTGCGCAGAACTTGTCTATATAATTATAAACTCATATAAATTTGATGTGGGTCCCATGTCTAATAACTGAGATATGGGTGTGCCCAAAATCCACTAGCCGCCACTGGTTATTCATATACCATTTTTTGTAGGCAAGTGTTATTCGCAAAGAAGGCTAAATACAGGAGGAGTAACTTTCTAGGTGCAAGCACGCGAAAAAACGTATGTCATGACGTAAAGTAGTTTTTCTACCCCTTTAAAATTAAGATTTGTACGAAAACTGACTCAATCCACGCTAGACAGCGCTACCCGTATAAACTGTAGGTGAAGATTTCTTATATTTTACGGATTAACCAACAATACCAAATAAAGGAGAAGTGCAGGGACAATACATACACGGACATTTTGCGCATCTGTATAACTACTGACGCGTCAGTAAAAGGGGTAGAAAAACTACTATAAAATTAAAGTTATTGTAAATTATGGTGCGGTAGAAACAAATTTTAAATATTAGTTTTTTAAATTATTCTTTTTAAGGCTGTTTAGGAATTTTTAAACCGAATTATAATGTTTTTAATTCAAATCTGTAGTTTTATCTTGCACTTTGAAAAATATCATTTTCTGTTATTTTTACCGAATTCCTATAAATTGTATTAAAAAAATAAATCTTCGTGTTTTTTTTATGAGTATGAGTATGGAAACGTATGGCAGGCCCCAAAGACATTATCCTCCACTAATATCCCAGGGTTATTTTAACCCATTTCCGTTCTCCTGCGTATCCCGCTAAATCACAGCATTACCTGTGTTTGTTGGATCCGAAGTTTTTACGCCGGCTGGTAGATCCACCCTAGGAGGTCGTGGATGACAGTGTCTATGGTTAAGGCCGCTCCACGGATTTTTGTCAGCCGGGTCGGGCCATACGTCCAATTTAGGAAGGGTTTTTGGAGGACATTGAACTGACCCAAAACTAAGTACAATCCGGAATCCTCCTCAACCTGGGTCTTAGTAATAACCCCATTCAATTGGGATTCATGAATGGGGATAGAAGTGTTAGTACGCTGCTAGAACCTGTCCTTGTTGGTGTATTTCTGAACATCTCTGTCCTAGTCAGTATCAGGTTCCTGGTAACCTCTTTAGTGTACGTAATTGGAATGGGGCCATATGGCCTGCATTGGCTATTGAGAGGGTCGTTCTTCTTATCTTCTGTGATGTATGTATGTATTTTTTAAGCTTATGTTTATTTGGCTTTGATTTATGGGTGGTATCTTAAATGCATAATATATATATTATACAATATTACCTATTCACACACAACACTTATTTATGATCTAAATTTTTTGTCATCTTGCTTGATTTGGTGAATTTTTTTAATAAAATTTGAAATTTATCGATAAACTTCAGTGAATTAAATATTGTACCACTTTAATTTTAATTATCTTTATAGCAGGAGGCTGGGGGAGCACACTTAAAAACTAACTTTTTTTTTCAATTAAAATTCTGCTTGCGCAGAACTTGTCTATATAGTGTCATTATTAGACTGGGCCAAAAAAATTGACTATTTTTTTTTTTGAAAAATATATCGAGAATGTCATTCAGAATGACAAAAAAAATATTTCGTGAAAATTTGAGCCCTTAATATTAATTTTAAGAGGTCTATCATCACTATTTTTTATTTTTAGTCATAATTTGATGTTTTACGTTAGAACTGTCAAAATAATAAAGTGAAAAAAATTCCTTTTCACTTATTTTTATATAAAATTAAATTCTCTACAAAAAAGGTGTGATTGAAAATTTTCGTCAGACGAGCCGTTTCCGAGTAATTGAGCTTAATAAATCGATGTGTTTTTTCGATTTGCCCTTTTTACTTTGAAATTTTGTAACTAATGAATCAATGAATATTTAAAAAAGCTCACATCGGATTCTTAAAGTAAATTTAATGTTCTACAAAAAAGGTCTCTTAACATTTTTGCCTAAATTTAATTTTTCAAAAGTTATTCACGATTAAAATCGAAGAAAAACTTAAAATTTCAATTTTTTCTTCGTGAATAACTTTTGAAGAATTAAATTTAGGCAAAAATGTTCCGAGACCTTTTTTGTAGAACATTAAATTTCCTTTAAGAATCCGACGTGAGCTTTTTTAAATATTCATTGATTCATTAGTTACAAAATTTCAAAGTAAAAAGGGCAAATCGAAAAAACACATCGATTTATTAAGCTCAATTACACGGAAACGGCTCGTCTGGCGAAAATTTTCAATCAGACCTTTTTTGTAGAGAATTTAATTTTTTATAAAAATAAGTGACAAGGAATTTTTTTCACTTTATTGTTTTGACAGTTCCAACGTAAAACATCATATTATGACTAAAAATCAAAAATAGCGATGATAGACCTCTTAAAATTAATATTGAGGGCTCAAATTTTCACGAAATTTTTTTTTTGTCATTCTGAATGACATTCTCGATATATTTTTCAAAAAAAAAAAATAGTCAATTTTTTTGGCCCAGTCTAGTCATTATAAACTCATATAAATTTGATGTGGGTCCCATGTCTAGTAACTGAGATATGGCCCAAAATCTATCAGCCGCCAATGTGAATAACAGAACAAAACAAAAATGTAGCTACAACGTAGTACCTTTTTAGTAGATGTAAAAGGATATGTTAAGGTTTAATTCAAACCGTTTAAATCTATTATTTGAGAACAATCGTAGGATTTATGTAGTTAAACAAGTTTCGCCGATATCGAAGTTACGCTTACCGCAGCCTAAACGAATCGTTATTGTTTTGTTTGTTATTAATTATGGTTTGTGGAAGCGGGGGGCGTTTAAATGGAATGTTTGGAAAGGCGACGGAAACCAGGGTGCGACGCCGGAGCGTCGGTTTGATAAATGAGACGGTGGCCGGCCGCCTGATAATTGTGGTGGATGTCGTGTGCCGTCTTCCAAGAGGAAACGCGCTTACTAATGGACTTTTAATAGATTACGATGGATGTCCCTTCATAAACTTGACTCCTTGTATCGGGTTACTAATTTTATACGCTTTTATTCAAAACCCACGGATAGAAAAAAAGTAAGAATTTTTAAAAGCCCTACTGAGATTTTTTTTTTCGATTATGAATAAACGGTGAATATAAATAAAATAGTACTGTATATAAGTATATACATTATATACATTACGCCGTTAAAAATACGTTATCTAGTGTTTGTTGCTAAGCAAAAATGTTAACTGCAATATTAAGTAATAAAGCTTACTAAAAAACGAGATAGGCCTTTACGTATCAACAACGATTTGTATGTAAACAGTACTAGTGATATATAAATATGACTTGCGCGATCGAAAGACATTCTACAAATTACAAAATTATGTTTCCTCTTATATCCAAATACCTACTTTTACCATTAGTCACTACAGAATTAAAAAAGAAACCAAACTAAATCTTTAAAAATTACGAAAAAATTAAGTTTTTGCAAATATCCATACACACAAAAAAATGTAACATAGTACCAAGAACAGCGCTGTCATTGTATGCATTAAAATTGAAGCAATCTAAATTGTTATTTGCTCAATTAATTACTATTAAACCAAAATATGGAAACATTTTGCCTAAATGTCAAAGAATTTATTGCGTTAAATATATACATAGTATACATACTATAGTAACATTATTAAATAAATCAAATTAGTACTTAATGCAATAACATTCTAACAAATAAATATCAATAGATTTAGGAGCGATAACTTTTGTTGTTAATTTAAAAACAGTAAACGATTATAAACCAAGTGCTTACTACCTATTGGTATTATAGGAACTGTTATTCAGGAATACGGATTTCAAGATCCCATTGGTTTAATAGCTAGCGTTTTTTCTGTGTACGTTTTGCGCGATCGGAAGATATGCTTTAAAGGTAGTGGTAATTTTTGCAGGCTTTTTAATACTAGTACCAACATTTTAGCACTATACCGATAAAAAAATACAAATCCCTTTTAGCGTTTTGCGCGATCTAAAGATATTGTCCGATTTTGAAATTATTTTTAGTTTTGCTTGTATACACCCAAGGCAAATTTTCCGCGGTATAGCGAATTAAAAATATAAATTTTTGCACCACCCTAAAACTTAAACTAACATTTAGCTAGCGGTATTCGGGGTCTTGATCTATCTTTTATTAACGGGTCCGTTAAAACAGTAACTTTTTCTCAGTTTGGTTGGTAGTTTGCCACGGTTTGGAAGAAAGTTTGGATCAGTGTCGTATCTCTGGTATACCTACACATAATGAGATAAAAGGCCTAAGATGAAGAAATATTATTATTATTTATTATTTTTCTTTTATTTTAGGCAGTGAATAGGCAGCCGGTACCGGAGACTGGTTTCGTTGCCGGTAGTTGCTTATTATTGGTCGAAGTTTAGTGGGCGGAACTACCGGCGGCCGGTTTGGTTGGCGGTACCGGTTACTAGAATGATAGCCGGTAGTATTTAATGAAAATTACACAAAACAGCTGCCTTATAATAGAATACCTTACGATTTTTCAAATAGGTGCATTTTATTTTAAGTAATCATTTTCGTTCAACGTACTTGATACGAAATTAAAACAGGTTTATTAGAAGCTTTATTAAAAAAACATTTTAAAAGTGACAATAATTGTGATTACTGAAACAACCGCGACAGAACCAAAATTTCCTACCAAGACCACTATTTTCAAGCCATTCAATGGCACTGGCCAGATTATTTGAGTTATTTCCCTGAGAGTAATTATTTTGCCTGATTTTTGCTGAAGTTGCTGTTGTAACATTTTTTATTAGCTTTTAAAGCGATTGCGTTTCTGGCCTCATTTTCCATTTCTGAAAGAAGCTTTCTCTCCCCTGGATAATGTAGGAAGCTTATTTTACTAATTTCATGATTATGGTTTAAATGTAGAGACCTTAACTCCAGATTTTTGCCCTTATCGTCCACTCTAAATCGAAGAAAAAACATGCAGGGCTCTTGAAGTTTAAAGGTACTAAAATAAAATAAAACACATTGTCCCCAGTAAATATAAGTCTCTCTAAACCTACCTTGTATCATGCATCCCTTTACCCCTCTTGAAATAAGTTCTACCACCGTGTATACAGGCATATTTTACTTCATAGTAAACAAGCTCCAATTTGATCTTCTTTATAATTCTACTGGCAGCAATTCTTCTAGAATCACGTTTCCACAGATTTATAAAATTCGCGTGACAATATGCATCTATGGTCTTTTCTAGAGCACTAAAACTCTCATATTTGTTTCCTATCTCCATCATTAATTTATACAATCAGAATTAATCAATAATAGGACTACATATTTGATTTTTTCTAATAAGAATCCATTTGCCTATATAAACATATGTTTATTTATCTACTTGCGTATATATACCTGATTCTATGGCTGATACGAATAAATTAATAAGTCCTATAACTTTTAATAACAGAATGTAATCAGAAAGCACATTATGATCAACAACAACAAACAAACATAACCTAAAAGTCAATAATAGCGCGCGAATCGCCAACGACATTACCGGCTACTAACTTTGTAACCGGTAATTCGGCCCACCAAACTTCGACCAATAATAAGCAACTACCGGCAACAAAACAAGTCGCCGGTACCGGCTACCTATCCACTGCCTTTATTTTATTAATATAAATCAGTGCTGCCAACATACAGACTATAATTACAAATGACATTTAATAAACATCATCTATGATAAACATATTACTAATGATTATGTTATGTATTTAAAGCACATATTTAAATATAAATATTTGATTAAAAATAAGGTAATATTTAAGAACTATATAGTTTTTTTACAAATATTTATTTATTTTTAGCTCCATTTTTTAGGTTTATAAAAATTGAAAAGTTGGGCTTCAAAGTTTATTATGTTTATTAATTTCTGATGCTTAATTTTATGCGGGGTTTAAAAGTGGCTTAGTAGTGTGAAACTAAGTAATTGTGTTGTGTTTGAAGAAAGATTCTTTAAGAAACCATCAAAACTTTTAAAAGAAAGAATCAAAATGCCTGATTACAAATACAGCATACAACAATATCACAGAAAAACCTTTATGAACAATGTGTTATGATTTGTTTGCATTATCGTGTTGCTTTATTATTTAGAACCGAAGTAGTTTTCAATACTATGTTCTTATAATAATATAGAAACAAAATCTTCTATATTTTAGCATTTCAGAACAAAATGAAGTATTTTATAGTTGTCCTTTGGAAAAAAATTGAATTGCAATATTGCAAACATGTCCAGGTTATTTTTGTATAGGTATGTTGAGTTGGATTTAAAATATAGGTACTACCTATTAGGTAGTATTTTAGCCTTTTATTCTAATTTAACAAAATATGTTTATATCTAAATTACACGTAATGCAATGATGATGAGTAATAAATGATTTATATATACTTTTTAAACTTCTATATTTCCAAGCTTATTTTTCAAAGAATTGATCTTTTTACAGCATTTTGATTTCTGGCAACCCAAACATTAGTTGCCCATTAATAATAAATTAATGCAAACTAAATAATAATTAAAATGTAATCAAACAAATTTATAAATTTGTTTGATTACATTTTAATTATTAATTAGTTTGCATTATATTAATTAATTGATAATGGGCAACTAATACCAATAAAAGACTTGACAAAATATACGATTTTTATTTCGTTATAAAATATATAGAGTAGGCTGCGAACTTAATTTTCAAATAAATTTAGTTGCTCGATTTCATTACCCAAATCGTTCATTTCAAATTTCTTTGGTTCATTTTTGACTAGCAATTGTTAATTAACTACAAACCAGAGATAAACGTTTCATGAAAATTTTTAGGTTATTTAAATGCCGCAATAAAACACGGTACCAACCTTCCACTCCGATTGTGGCGATAAATCAAAAATTTTGCTAATTTAACGGGACCTCTGAAGCACCTGCTAAAATTTCGAGGTTAGAATCTGTTAAAATTGATTTATGAGTCATGGCTGCTTATCGTAAATATATATAACTTAATATACCTGTGCGAGAAGCTTTTAAACTTAAACTCATAAAACCTATTTTAATCATTTCCAAAATAACCTATTATTTTCATTAGAAGGGCGTTTCCACAAAGTTTTCAATGCTTAAGTCCTTAAGATTCTTGTATAAGTGGAAGCTTGATAAGTGATATATTTATATATGTTTGATATATTAATCCGGGTTTTTATTTTATTTTTATTTAAGTTTAAAGATTAATGTTTGAATACCTTGAAAAACATCAATGTTAAAATAGGGCGACGAAAAATATTTTTGCCCATCGCTTCAAAAGACATATTTATTATTTTATTTATATTAGTATAAATAAAAAAATTCTTCGGAAAAAATGCAATATTAATATTTACTTTATTTTTACTACTATTCAAAGTTTGTGGTTTGCTAAACAAAAAAAAACCTTATGGCTACCCAACTGTATACAGTTTACGTATTTTAGATTTTCGCAAAATATGACAGTGATAAGTTGCCGCCATATTTATCCCGTCGGACCACTTGAGTAAATAGGCTGAATCTGCATGGCAACTGTCAATTGTTATTTATACATATTTACATTCTAAGGATTTATTAACGAATCAATATTTCTATAGCCTACTTGACTTGCAAATATTTTCGAGGATATGCGAACATACAAATTGAATTTAACTTATATTATAAATGATTTTTTTCTACTCTTAAACTTTAATTCCTTTATCAGGAATTTTCTACTTGTACTGTAATAAAATCCATTGTGATACAATTTTTTTATTACAATGAAGATTTTTAACCAAAAGAAATGTAATACACGGCTATATTAACCAATATAAATGCAATACACGGCAATATACTGTCAATATCAATGCCTTGGGCATCTGACATATCTAAAATTTATCAATTTTAAAAAGTAATTACTTAATTGTTTTTTAAAGTTAATTTTTTACTTTATTATGATAGTAGTAGAAAAAATTGTATATGCAGCTCCCAATTAATGGGCTCTTATACAAAACAAAGTAATTAAAAAGTTAATTAAACTAAAACGTTATTAATAAACTATATCCAAATGATTTTTTCTGAGATAGAGGTTGTTAAATTAAAATATGATATGATATGAATATGCTTAATATTTTAATTTATGCAAATTTAGTATGCAACTAAATCTAAAGGAAACACATTATTTACCGGGTATGATTTTTTCCCAATCATGTTATGTTTATTGTTCACGAAAGTCGCTGCAAAAAAAATGATAATAAGAAGTAATATTTAAATATAGATGATTGGTAACTTTTTAGTAAGGATAACTTTAGCTTCACCAGCTAATTTAGTAATTATCTGCTACTATATATATATATAGTAAGTTTTATAAAACCATACAAAAACAAACCATATGGTTAATAAGAAACTGTGTATTTTTTCTCTATAAAAGTAGTCAGAGAACTGGATTATCATCGCATCTAGTCTGCGATGGAACATTAGTTAATCACTTTTGATATAAACAAAATTCTATAAAAAGTAAAATTAAAGACGCAAATTTTAAGAAACACTCCCCTGATCTACGATATAAAACATCTTATAAATGGTATAACTAGAAAGATAACATTTTTCAGAGATTATAAAAACCACTGTACTCAGCATAATAAAAATAAAGGATTGCTTTGCAGAGAGTGTATATCTAATGTTCGTATAAATCATGCTCTTATAAACATATTTTTTAAATATATATCCGCATGCTGAATTTATACGGCGAATCTGAGCTCTACACATTAGTCAAATTGCTCGCGATCTGTCTACTTGATAATGGCCATCATTTTTAGGAGGGTTGAATCTGAATGCGACTGTCATTTGTTAAAGGGAGACGTGTTGCTATTTATTTATACGGTTGACAAAGCAGTTAGAACCTATACTCCAGATGTGTTTTAAGTAAAACTAAAGTACCTAATAGTAAGTTATAATAATATTTTTTTATAAATTTCACAATTTTTACATTTGTCAAATTTTTAACCCTGTTTTTATTAGATTTTTTTTTTCAGGGTGACCGGTAGAAAAATGTTGATTTATTTATTTTTTAATTTAATATACAATAGGTTTCAGTTTTTATTTATGAATGGCAACGTAGGCCAAATGCAGTTCCTCGCAAGCAAAACTTTAGAAATTATGGATTTCGAGCATATCTGGTGTTCTCATGAATTTCACAAGTAATTTTTACTACATTCTTAATCCATTTAAATAACGTGGTGTATCATCAGGTTTCATGTACCCCAATTATTATTTATTAATTAATTTATTAATTTAAGAATATTCTAAAAGTAGAATCTGAACTCCGGATGGGCCAAAATAAGGTGCCTCTTAAAATGATTTAATTCAGAAAAATTTGACGAAGCTGCTTCATTACAATACATGCTGTGGCTTCTTTTTCCAAAAGGTTGTTAAAAATTGCAGGTTCTAAATTCACGGTCTTGGCTCATCCCTAATCGTCCAGAGCATTGAGCCTTCATGGTTTCTCTTGCGGGTGTTCGTGTACATCGCCAAGTTGGTTTGTTTACATAGCCCTGGATATGGAAATGGGCTTTATTGTAAAGATAATGCGGATTTTAAAACTTTACTTGCAAGACTGAAATTTATAACTACTTACTTATTATATTATTTCATATAATTCCGTATAATTCATGGCTATATCAGATATGCATTATTTAATTGACTTGATTTTTTTTTTAAATTTATATAACAATGTTGATACAAATAAATAAAACAATATTATTTATATATCATTTTATATCAAATTCATTAACAGTCAACAAGAGTTTTGGTTAAACATGAATACTACAAATAATTAAATACATCCTAAAAGCTATTGCAGCAAATGCGCAGCATTTACCATAACCACAATTAGTTATTTATTTTACAAAACCACAAATAATTATTTATATAAAACCTATGTTTGCACTCTAAGACGGCAAAGACAAATCTGCTGGCAACAAGTAAATCTTAAATGGAGGGTCATTATTTGTTGCTTATGTAAATTTAATTTATTTGACAATTTGCTAAATATTTCTTGATAAGCTTGACATTGCAACACTTTCTTTAGACGCAAAAGGCTTTTAACGGAAACAGAATAACAAATGAATATCGAATAGATGAAAATACTGATTGACACGCACTAAAAACACGCATCTCAACAAAAATACTAATTATATAACTTTTTATTAATTAGCAAAATAAAATACTATATACCTCTATATTACCTCTATATTAAT